AATTAGTATAAATTGAATATATAGAGTAATTGTAATTTTGAAATTTAATGAACATTATTCAATAAATATTTTTTCGCAGCATTTAAATTTTATTTGTTTAAAAATTTTTTTTGTTAGATCGACGGTCTAAAGGACCGGTCTAAATTAAAAGACCGATGATCTTATGAGACTATTGGTCTCGGTCTCAATCCAATCTTTTTCAAAAGACTGCTAAAGATCGGACTGGATCGGACTGGATCGGACCGTTCCCAACCCTAACTCTACCATTTGATAAAATCAGGAACGAGCCAAGTGAATTAACATTAATCACCAATTATTTGGACAGAATCATGAAAGATGCTTTTCATGACCCGGATAAATATATAGTTCAATGGCTGAACACAGCCCTAACGGAAAGTAAAATTAGAAAACTTGATGGATCAAGAACGAAACAGCCAGATTTCGTAGTAACGATTAAATATCAATCTCAGACAACAAATGTGATTTATGTCGGTGAAGTATCTGGGCCATCAGAGAAAAACAACGTATATAAAAACTGTCTTGATCTTATTAGGATAGGTGTATTTATAAAAGACTGCATTGACTTAGCAATTTCACGAGGAGCCAAGATAAAAATATTGGGATTTCAATGCATTGCATACAAAGCGGATTTCTATATTCTTGATCTAATAGGTGAAGGATTATATACAATGAATCATATTGCTCAAATTTCGATACCCAAGACAATAAAGAACCTATTTATTTTTATAGAAGAATTACACATTCTATTAAATATACGAAATATTTTCTTGGAGTCATATAATGTCTTTATTGATAAACTTGAAAATCCTGGCTTAACTCTGTTAGAATTAAAATCGTCATTCAAAAAGGATACGTTGGATACTCCTGAATTTAACAGGCTTGTTAGTAAAACTCGTTGTGTTAAAAGGGAATGTCCATTTTGGTTTGGAAGATATTAACATAATATTGCTCATTATTTTTTCTGGTGGTTTATTAGCTTAAAATTTCTGCTGGAATTTTCCCTTAAGTATTATTGGTACATCAACAATAAAGTTTCGGGTCTTACCATTTTTTTAATCATGTGTATGCTGTAGTGTGTGCATCGAAAAAATATAATATATATACCAATTTGGGTGATTGCTCTTAGTTTATTATTATACAGTTATAATGAAATCCGTATAATTGTACGATAGGTCTGTGCAATGTAAGATTTTTGCGATTACTTCACTTGAAACAGAACACCCACCTAAAAGGGAAGAAAATTATGGACGAGGTGAATACGCTAATAAGGTATGAATTTTTTTCGGTTATGGTTGTACATTTGTAATAAATTGACTTCTGGGTTTGCAAACTAATGACATTTTTTCATACAGATTTTTGAGGGATTTATTAACATCATGGAAGGCAAAGTTTTCAGTAATAAGTATAACCGATGACCGTTTTTATTTTATCTGGAATATCAATGATTGAACAAATGAAGTCGGAACAATGTGTTAGTGAGCATAGAAACATCATTTTACTTTGTAAAATGAAATTATGAATCATGTATTATTTGTATTCTGTAATAAAGCAACTCTGGTGGTGGTCAATTCATATATACGAATATTCCCGATTTTGATTGATTTTTTTGCAAAAGTGATCGGCATTCCGAAACGGAACGCGTACGTGATTTTTTAGGAATTTTAAATAAGTCCCGTTCGTGATTGAAAGGGGGATCTAACTCAAGATGAAACCGATTATGTAATTACCGAAATTTTGATAATGAACTGCATTACACGATTCATACACGAGCATCAAAAAAATATCACGTGCATTTTATTTGTAATCATTTTCCCGAAATCTGATTAGCTGATCATCTTATGATTTCTCCAGGTGTCGAGGAGAACTCATGTAATACAAATTTTTATAATATGTCACATGAAGCGCCGGGTCTGAAAATAATTTAGCCGTCAAGTGACTCGGATCTAATTTAACCGAATCATGACGTCAGGAAAATCGTCAAGCACATCTACATGTATGTGAAATATATATATATAATGTATACACAGCGCCTTCGTCAATTTCGAATAAAAATGAATCTGATATTTTATTATAATATTTATACAAACTACTACAACACTAAATATTTACTAAAAACGCTATATATCAATAAAATTGCTATAAGTCTTATTTATTGTCCGTAATCACATATAATTATCAAATATGCCTGGACCAATGGTTAAGATCATTTTAGATAACATTTATAATAAATCTGTACCTAAACCTATCAATCTTCGTCCTGGATATGATTGAAGCATGTTCATAACGTTCAGACTTATAATGATACCTATAGGCTTGAAAAAGTGGTTGAAATAGAAAGACAATATGATTATTTATCTATTATTAGACCTCATAAAACGCCACAGCAATGGGCTGATCGTATAAGAACTCCTTTGCAAGAATTACTTTCTAGGAGAGAATATATCATTTTACAAAATAATAAATTTCATCCTCAATTCGGGCTTGTATTTTTTACCGTGTTTATTTTATATATGCAATGATAAAATATAAAAATTTATCTTGATGACAAGTTGATTTTAATACATCTAAGATCATGTTTATTTAATGAATTACTTTACGAGTTTTCTCTGCTTTTTGAGGACTTGCATCAACAGCAGTCATTGTCCGACGTGAACGACGTTGAGATGTTGCATTTCTTAATAGTTCATTTATTCGTACATTAAGATATTCTGTACGAGCCTGTTTATGAAAAAGATTATGATTCAGGTGTGTGTTAAAAAAATTTTATTGCAATTGCAAAATTAATTTACCCTGAAGGCTAATAGATCGCTTATGATATTCTCTAACAGATATAATTGCATTTGTGTGTCCGGTATTGTAAAGGAAAAAATCTCGTCAACAAGAAAAGCTCCGTCATAATAATTCATAGCATAAAAAGCGAAATCCCTCCCTAAAAAAAAGAAGGTTAGAAAGTATAGTATAGTTTGATGGTCACAACATACCAAGAAACATTACTTACTATCAACTAGGATTCCAAACGTTTCGAGCTTTTGTTTGAGCTTTTTTTCATCATCAACTCCTTTTTCACGCAAAGATTCTTCTAATCGAAAAAATGCCAAACGCATTGCTATTCAAAAAATTATGTATAATGAGTTTCTACGTGCATGTAATATAGAAATATTTTGAATCCTTACCCTTCAAGATTTTTTGGAGGTCACCAACCCTTTTTATATGATCTTCGATTATAGCGTTTCCTACTACTTCAAGGAAACCGACCTGTAAATCATTGCCGTTTATATTAATTTTTAGTATTCCGTCATGGAACCAGCCCGTAGGTCTTCGCTCTTCAGGGAGTTTAGATAAATCTTTTTGATTTTTACGATCAATGTTTTCTACTTCTCCACTATGAAAAATATATCATTTTATCCATTTCATATATAAAGAATAAAATGTGATAAAATACTTACGTCACAAATCGAATAACATTGTTTACGTCAAGGAAAATGTCTTCGCATAATAAATTTACGAACCAACTACGATATTGGTATTCACTGGTCGATTTGTCATTTAAAACATGTTTCGAGAGCTGGAAGCATGTTACACTACAAACATAAAAGATCAACAAAACTATAATAACAAGCAGTAGTAAACAGCAGACAATAAATAATAGAAACTTAGGAACTTACAATTTTTGGTGTACGTTGTCAACCCATTTTGACAACCAATGTTTCCGGAATTTGTATTCGGTTTGGTAATTAGGGACAAAAAAGATCGCATCAAGATCCACGTGGGCACCTTCTGTGGCTTTTTTTTATAGATTCATTAAATTCCTTCAAAATGCGTTCAACTTTATCTAGCGGAGGAGAGGTTTGCGCGCTAATCTCTTCATCTTTCTAAAGCCATAATGCAATATCTCATTACAACTGCTATCATATACACAAAAATCAAATGAGATATTTTCTAACCTTACGAAAGATGTTTTCAAGATTTCTCCATTCATAATCACTAAATTCACTCCGCAAAATGTCATTTTTGTGACATTCGGGAAGAAATATAACACCATACCGTGCTATTCCTTTACCAATCTTGGAAAGCTTTTTAGATGTAACACTGCTTGTGATAGGTAGCTCATCATCTGACAACACACTTCCATCGGTATCGAATTCATAATCGTTCTTGTTTCGCTTTGAGTTCGTGGAAAAGGTTAAAAAACAATTTGACAATGTGAAATCTGAGAGTTTTGTAACCTCACCTTTTTCGGCCTTGAAGAAGTCGCAAATTCAGAGTTTTTGCATTCCTGTGAAACAGTCCGCTTAAGTTTCGTATGGATACTCCCGTTGTTGATGTCCCCAATCGTGTGAGAATCTCCATAAAAATTAACTGAATGTACAGCTTTTTCGCAAGAAGCACGTTCCTTCTCCCACTTCTGGTAACGAACACGATCCGGTTGAGATCCCTGGCAATGTAAATTTTAGAAATTAATATTTTTAACGTTCACAACTGGCTGTTCCTGACTTGTCTGACTTCTCCCGTCAGGTCGAGTTTAAATCTTGAACGTCAGACAAAGTTGAAATTCATCTGCGCCCTAACGGGGCTAGTGTCAGGTCGAGTTTAAATCTTGAATGTCAGGCAAAGTTAAAATTCACCTACACCCCAACACTAACTTCGTGGCTCGCGTTAAAAGCTTGAATGACAGAAACGTTAAAAGTCCCTGCCATGCCACCAATTATTTGTATTTTATATCAAAAAGTTCTTAAAACTTGCCTGTTTATAGTCATCAAGTAGCTGTTGTGCTCGTACTTTTCTTTGGTTTTCTTCTTCTTCGGTCTTAACGATTGTTTCGAGGGACGAAAGATAAAAGCCTACTCTCTGACTTATCGGTTCCTGGTCACATTCGTCTAGGAAATCCAAAATATCCCAATTTGAAGGTTTTCTTTCGAAGTACTTGTTTATATAAGGCATGCTAAAAAAAGTTAAAATTATCAATGACTAACTTCAACGACTTGTTACTTAAATATGTACTAGTCCAGTGTCACCATGATATAATGATCACTTGGGCGGAACTTTTAATGGGTAATCTGACTATTTATTTTTTCGGTCGTGGCTGTGCGACCATTTATTCTATCCAGATTATCGATGATGGAGATAAATGAAGCCGGATCATGGAGAAAAAACAAACATGAATCGCAAAAACATTTTTAAAGTTTTAGGTTTACTCAATAAGACCTAATTCACGAAGATGCTCTGGAATAACTACATATGGGTCTTCGTAATACCAAACGTACCTTAAGGCAATCTGATTCTCTTCACATAATTCTTTCTTGAGTTGATCCCGTGCTTGCTGTTTGATAAAATTATTCTTATCTCCTCTATGAAAGAATTCTATATATTTTTCGTGCTGTTCTCCTTGCACTTCGATTGCGAAACCATATTCTGGATAAAATATATCAAGTTGTAACCCTCGAGAGTATTTAGGTGTTTTTAAGAAATCCGGCCAGCAATTTTCTGATGGAGGTCCAAGATAGTTAGTTACAATTTCACGGCATATATTTTCACGTTTATTTTGACAAAAAGGACACCATGAGCCATGATATTCTACATTAGCAAATGTGGCGTTCCATATATGTCCTTTAGAGCAATTCCATACTAATTTAGAATGTGCATCTTTATAACTATCCGAAAGACAGTTCCCATTGCGTTTCTGCGCCAAATTTTGCATATCCTCAATGGTTCGATTACGTCCAGCACATATGGGGCACCATGAATTTCGATTTTTTACACTTTCAAGTGTTGCATTCCATTCATGATCTTTCGCACATTTCCATATTAAATGAGATGAACCATTAATATATTCATTTGAGATACAATCTCCACCCTTATTAATTGCAACCATCTTAGCAATATTAAGAGTATTCTTAGCTTGTCCTGCACAATATGGACACCATGAATTTTTATTTTTTATACTATCAAGTGATGCATTCCATTCATGATTTCTGGCACATTTCCATTGCATAGGTGAATAACCATTAGTATATTTATCTGAAAGACACACTCCTCCTTGTTGTCTGGCAATTTCTTTTGCATTATCTAAAGTTAACCTTTTTGGCATTTTATTAAGACCTTTTAATATTTCAAATATCTTTTCGCATCATTTGGACAAGTAGAATCCACAACATACTATGTTAATGATGTATTATATGGAAATCCCTTTGACTACCGTAGATCTAGTGTTCATAAAAGTCAGATGGCTATCTGCTTTAAATGCTGGAAATTGATAAAAATTGCCGAAGTAAAGCCAAGAAAGGTATATTATAATGGATGGGGTTATACATGAAGTCGAAATGGATCATTTCGGATATCCGAAATGGTCGAAATGGTCGAAATCATTTCGACCATTGGAGGCTAAAGTCGCGAAATAGTCGAAATAACGTCATATCACATGATTTTTATATAGAAAAAACAAAAAAAACAAAAAATGTACGATCTCGGTCAATATCGCACCGATTCGTATGAAACAACTACCATTCGAATCCTTGCGACTAGACGAATCCAATGAGCTAACATTCATTGATTTTGGATTATCCCATCACGAGATATTTGCGATCGTATTTCGAAATCCAGACTTCTTTATTTATTGATTTATAATTTCAGCCGATAATACAATTGCGAATATCTCGTGATTGGATGATCCGAAGTCAATTAATGTTAGCTTATTGAATCCGCCTAGTTTCGAGGAATCAAATGGTAGTTGTTTCATATGAATCGGTGTGATATTGACTGAGATCGTACATCTTTTGTTTTTTGTTTTTCTAAATATGAAAAATCATGTGATATGATGTCATTTTGACTATCTCGTGAATTTAGCCTCCAATGGTCGAAATGATTTTGACCATTTCAACCATTTCGGATATCCAAAATGATCCATTTCGACTTCATGTATAACTCCAATAGAAAGAAATCAATGTATAAGCCTCCTTACTGCTAATTATTAAAAAGCAGCATTACAAGTATATTACCTTTTTGAAATGATTGGAATAGAGCAAATACTATGAACTAAATATATATTGGTTGGAATACTCTCTCATCTAAGCTGATCACAACACCACCAACACATACAAGAAGCTAGTATCATCGCAGGAGCTCAGATATTGGAGGAGGAAGTTGTTAGACTAACATAATTGACGAATGGTAATCTTGATGATCATGATTCTCAACTTTTTACCATTTTTCTGATTTCTTTGATTTCACTAATTTCTTAGTGATCTCTAATTTCACATATTTCTTTAATATATTTAATTTCTTATATTTCTTATATTTCTTTACTATCTTAAATATCTATTTCATATTGATGTATTTTATATAAATATCTTGT